ATTCTCTCTCCCTCAAATAAATAAAATCTTAAAAAAAAAAAAAAAAATTTTTTTTAGTTTAATTTACTATATACTGAAAACTTTGGTTTCTTGAAATTATTCTAGATTTTGTTTTTTATTTCCAAAGGGCAAAATTTGATATTTTCAAATGAGCCAAGTAGAGACATTCTTTCTAAATTGTCACAAAAAGATAGGGAATTAGGTTAACAAGAAAGACCATGTGTAGTTACTTAAAACTTTAATTTTTGTATTTTCACATTATCTTGAATTCTTCTGACCCTAAGATAAAGTCTAATAAGGTAGCATAATCACTTGTCATTGTAATTTGTTTCTTTTAACCATTACAGTTTCATATTTTATAAAAATCTTATATTTTGGTTATCTTTTTTAAAATGAGCTAAAATTTAAAAAAATAAAATGACCTAAAATATCAAATGAAAGTCTTATGAGAACATCTGTTCTTTTGCCATAGGTATTCAAGCCTCTGCTTTTATAACTTCTCTGCCTATCATTTATATATTTTTAGGCAATTACTAGAATTGCTTTAACAGCCTTGCTATAATCTTATATATAGCATCTAGAATACACAGGAAGAAATGTGTATTTTACTTTATTATAGGTTTGAGAAATTACTGATGATGGCAACTGCCATAGTGTTAGTATTTTGTAGGTAGGGTATATTTCATTTCAGTAAAGCCTGATGCGGGGCTCGATTATCACAACCCTGAGATCATGACCTGAACTGAAATCAGTAGTCGGACGCTTAACTGACTGACCACCCAAGAGCCCCCACATACAAATTTAATATTCTGTTCTTTTAAGCTACTTTCAAGGTTTTAAAATCTAGCTACATTTATTATTAACATAACTTAATATTACATTCTATAGGTTTCTTTGGAGACTCGGGCCCAGGCAATGGAAAAAGACCAGTTGGCCCAACTTTTGGAAGAAAAAGATTTGCTTCAAAAAGTACAGATTGAGAAAATTCAGAACTTAACACGGATGCTGGTGACCTCTTCTTCCCTCACATCACAACAGGAATTAAAGGTAAAATTTAAAAGATGACAACTCAGACTTGGTATACAGAGACTAGGATTGGTATTCCTATATGTTTATTACATAGTTATGCATTTCTTATCCTTTGATACAGTATATTCAGAAAACCCAGAACATTTTGTGTGTTTGCCTATACATTAGTAAAACCAAAGAGGTTCATTAAAAATAAGGATCTCTGATCCCACGTGTAGAGATCCTAATTCAAGAAATCTAAAATACTGACAAGGAATCTATGTACAATATGTTTCTTAAGAAATTCTAGTGAAGTTGATCAGGTGATTGAGAACCATAAGTGTCTAGAGTATGTGGTAATATTTTCTATTTAAAGAAACAAATATTAATCGTGGGAAAATTGATCTAGAATATAGATCAAAATAGTGATCAAAATTCTGACTTCCAGTATGTGTACTTTTTGTTTTTACCAAAGTTAGGGGTTTTTTTTTAGCCCAGTAGGTATTTTTTGTCTATGATGGTATCATGATTAAAAGGATGGCCTCTGGAGCTTGACTCCCCGGATTTGAATCCTGGTGCTGTCAATTCCTAACTCTTTACCTTAGGCAATTTCTTAAATCCACTTTGCTGCAGTTTCCTTATCTGTGAGATAGCTTGATTCCCACCTCGTAAGATTGTTGTGAGAATTAGGTGAAATAATGCATAGAATGTGCTCAACACTACATTTTCCACAGGGCAAATCCTCAATAAATATATGCTCTTAAGATAATATTATTAATAGAAATTATGTTCAAGTCACCATACTAGGTATAAAGAAGACATCCCAAGTGCTATTTGTTGACTGACTGATGAATAGGAAACAGCCCAATGGAAGGGATAAAGAAGACTATTTCAGGAAGAGATCCACATGTACAAAAGCTTGGAGTAGTGAAAACAACATAATGTATCCCTTGGAGTTAAAATGTTTTGGTGGTAGGGGAATTTTAAATCACAATGAAGGATTTGAACATTGCATTATGCTAAGGGCAAGCTAAAGTCTTGTAGGTAACATGATCATGATTGTGTTTCAGAAAGGTATGGCTGCTTATGTGCATCAGATTGGTTGGGGTTCTACAAGGACTGTGACTCTGGAGATGGAAAAAAAACAGATCAGTTGGAGAGCTATGTGGGAGAGAGACTCAGCAGGACTTTGTGATAGCTTAGCTGTGGGGGTCATGGAGAGGGAGAGAGAGGTATCCAGAATGACTGGCAAACATTGCTGGGTAGCTGGTAGTATTTACTGTTAAGGAACATTGAATGAAGAGCAGTGCAGCTGCTCAGTGTTTTATTTGGGACATCTCCAGTTTAAGATTTCAGGCAATTGAAAATGAAAATGAAAATCAGGTGAAAGATGTGAGGTAGATATATCAATTTGGGCATTAGCTACTGCAGATCCAAAGTCAAGTTGTGGGAATGGATGGGCTTGTTCTGAGAGCATGTTGGGAATGAAAAGAAGACCAAAGACCAGACCCCAAGAACGACTTTTAGATAAAGGTAGAAGAATCCCAAAGGGAGCCAGGATTCGCTCTAGAGTTAAGAAGGAAACCAGATGAGTTGTGGTCACTAAGGGAAGAGAATATTTCAGAGAGGTAGCCCTCAGCAGTGTCACATTCTGGAAACAAGCTCATTTACAAAGCAATTTGAGCTATGTGCTAGGAGTGAAAGCCATCTTACAGAGGGTTGAGATGACCCCAAGGGATGAGATCATGAGCACATTAGAGGGGACTGGCCTCAGATAGAAAAAAGGATCATTTATAGATCAGCTCACCTATAAAAAGGATGTAGTAATAGGATAGTTGGGAGGATCAAGTAAGATGAGATAGTACTTGTACCTCCTAGAGGGACAGGAGAAGAATGGTAGCCATGAAATATGGAAAAACACAAGCAGAGGAAGAGAAACCAGCAAAGCAGAGTGAGTGGTGGGATAAGCACCAGGAGACAGAGGTGTTCCTGAAAGGATGACGAAGGAGTAGACGGATGATGAGGAAGAGCACGAAAGAGAGATGAAAAGAAAATTGTAGCTAGAGAGAAGTAAGGAGTGAAGGGTTTGTTTTAAAAAAAAATCAAAAGCAAATGGAGAGGCTGGAGCATTCATTCATCGAGCTGTTAGAGGGGGCTGGTGAGGCTAACAGATGAATAGGTAACCCAGGGAGCAAGGTCCCAGGGAACAATGAGGTTAGGAGCCCTGGGAAAGGCATTAGCTTTACTGCATTGGAAGAGACTGGCATTGTGAAGGCTGTGTGGAGATCTACTCGCTGAAGGAAGTTCAAATAGACCATCTGTCTTCCCTTCCCAGTCAGAGCTGGACAGCCCAAAGTGCTTTTGGTAGCTATGGTGGGCAGCAGCAGCTTCCCTGCTAGAGAACACTGGATCACTTGGGGGGTGGGAGTCAGCCGATTCCTTTCAATTAAGTCCCAGAAAAGTTTGTAGGGAAACTTTCAAATAAAACATGAATTTTAAATGATAGTTTCATCAAATTTTTTATAGGGTTAAACACTGATTTTAAAAGTTTGTTTTCTCATGACATCCTTAGACTGATAGGATATTAAAATAGGCTTAAAAAAAATTCTACCAAGTCCGTGGTTTCCAAGAAATATAAATTAATTCTCTTGTTTTACGATGTTTGAGCCCAGATCTGTTTAAGGTAATTTTGATTTTTTTCCTCTTAGGCTAAAAGAAAACGAAGAGTCACTTGGTGCCTTGGCAAAATTAACAAAATGAAGGACTCAAATTATATAAATGAATTTAATATGTCAACAAATGTAACAAAAACACGTAAGGCGGCTGCAACCGTAGTGGGGGAAATTGATGAATGTGAGTGCTTTTTTAGCTGCTTTTAATTACAAAAGCATCCCAGTAAAGAACTACTTTATTTATAACTCAGTTAATGTGATAAACACATTTAATAAAATGTATGCATTTTAGATGCAATTACAATGGAGATAATGATAAAAATTAGTGATTTTAAGAAAGTGAACATTCTCTATTATTTTCACATCTCTTAAGAATGATACACTTTAGTTGAAACACGAGACATTTTTATTGTTGGTTTTGTTCTAATCATTATCCAGTTAAATTAGTATCCATATAACATAAATTAGTATCCATATAACATCTGCCTTAAACTTTAATTTTGAAAGGGTAGCATTACACAGGCATGTTTCAAAATAATGTCTCCAACATTAGCAGTATTTTTAAAGCATTTTAAAATCTACTTACATTGATCAAATCTCAAATTCAGAATTTGTCCTTTTACCTATATTGTATCAAGGATCGAGTATTTTATTACTAATTCTAACCAGGGATCTTAATTCATACAATATTATAAATGATCATATCTTTTGTTAATGTATTCTTGGCATTCATATTTTGAGCACATGTTAGCTAATTGGAGCTTATTATTACCTCCGATCAGATTTTTTTTTAGTCTTTGACTTTTAAGAAACTTTATTAAACATATTTATGGATAAATTTCTTTTTCCCCTAATTCTAGCTTTCTGCTCAGAGTCTGATATTTTCAGTAATACTTTTGATACATTAAATGAGACAGAGTGGAATCCAGCAACAAAGCTACTAAGTCAGGTAACTTAAATGTATTTTATAAAACATTATCTCTCACTCTTTTTAAAATTCACTTTTTGTTGATGTTTACATTGTTGTAGCAGCACATTACTCGCTCTGACTTAATTTTAGTAACAGTTTTGGTTCTAATTACTCGTTACACTCCTAATTGATAACTGACACGTAGAAGGAAGCTAAAAATTTTGTAATGCTGGTGTATGGTAATAGGTAAACATTTGCGTCTAGTTCTTTCCCAATAGATCTTGGTATCTATGGGTTTTTGGTTGTTTTTTTTTTTTGGTTTTTGGTTTTTTTTTTTTTTTAGTTTCTGTTTTTCCTTACATAATCCCGTAAGGGTTTTAAAAAAGGCTGATTTTTAAAGTGTCAAAAGTCTCAGGCATATAGTAGAAGAATGACACAGCAGGGAGGGGGTAATATTGCCAAATCATACTGAAAAATAAAAGAAAATGTATTATGTGTGGTTTTATCAAACCTTTAGGGAATACTATGGTGAATACTTCACTAGGTATAGAGTCCATATTGACTTTCTAGGCTACTAATGTCCAAAAAAGTACAGTATAGTTTTATAAATGTATTTGTTAAGAAAATTTCATTTTAGTTTTAGAATAAAATTGCAGTGATTCTTGGGAATTATTATCATTACTTAACCATTGAATTAGTTAAAATTAGGTGTTATAGTTAAAATGCTTTTATGTCCCTAAAACATCCTCTAGAAGTGTGTTGTTTTTGGAAAATCCCTGGTGTTAATTTTTGTTTTTTTAACCTGCAGTTTATCTCTTTCTCATAATAGTGTACAAAACAGAAACAGGCCTCTTTCGAGTATGGTAAAACATAGCCTTTAGAGTTTTAGAGGTCAATAAATAATACCTCTGTTTCCCTTCCAAAATTCAGACCTATTTAAGAAATAAAACAGGCATCAGACAGGTGGAGAATTAAATTATCGGCTTCATAACAAAGGAGCATAAGGATCTATGGTCAAGTGGACTTCCCGGGATGCACCCTACCTCCCCAGCCTCCTACTCCTGACAACTTTCCCAGTTAGATACAGGCAGAGCACTTGTTTATATGATCTTTTTTTTTTTTCAATCCTTTCAAAATAGTCTTCTAAGCTAGTTTACCAAAATGCACATCCTTTATTTTACCCTGGATCAAGCTAAACCATTAGAAAGATATTGAAGAAGAGAATGACCTAAGTTAACTACATGATTTCAGGTTAAACTATTTGACTAATCCAAATTTTAGTAAGAAAACAATATAGGATTAGAATTCTCTCCAACTTGAAAATCTGGTTTTGTTTCCAATAGGAAAACTTAGAAAGTGAACTGAATTCACTTCGTGCCAACTATGATAATCTGGTATTGGACTATGAACAACTAAGACGAGAAAATGAAGAAATGGAATTGAAATTAAAAGAAAAAAATGATTTGGATGAATTTGAAGCTCTAGAAAGAAAAGCAGAAAAAGATCAGGAGGTAAGAGATATGGAAACATGAAAATAAAACCACACTTTTAAAAGAAGTATCATTTTTGGGCACCTGGGTGGCTCAGTTGGTTAAGCGGCTGCCTTCAGCTCAGGTCATGATCCTGGAGTCCCTGGATCGAGTCCCGCATCGGGCTCCCTGCTCGGC